CAACAGGATGGATCATATCTGGTTCCTGCTATGTTGTTGAACGCTCCAGAGTGCCATGAATTGATGAATACAGATGAAATGGCTTCGTCATTGGTAATTCGATTCAAAAGTTCGCACCTTCCGTTCGGCGTTTTTCCAAGACTTTTTGCTGCTGTTCATAAGTTGTGTAGCTCAAGATGGCCTGATTCTACCGCACCTAGTCTCTCCAGGAACTTTGCGAGGTAAGCTGGTCATACCTTTCCTTGGTTTTCAGAAATCTTTACAGTAATCATTGAAACAAAACAAAAAAATCTTACCTCCATCATTCTCAAAACAAAATTCTTACATGTTTTTTTCTCAGATTTTACATTGCTAATGACGCATTCAGCTTGGTCCTCATTTCCGATGTCCAAACCATTACTGTAGCCCTGGTCAATGAAGAAACTCCTGGTAGTCAAGACGATTATCTATGTTCCTTTCTATTGAAGTTTCTGAGGAAAACTCTACCAGAAATGATGGAATCATTCCCTTGGATGAAAAGCTTGGAGTTTGAGTTTGGTATCCATTGTCCAATTTGTGAAGACGCTGTACCTTGTACAAAACACAACAAGATGGCCTGTTCTAGAGACTCCTGTGCTCACTTCATACCAGAGAAGGAACTGTTGAAAAAAACTAAGCCACGTTGCCACAAGAACCCTACAAAGCGTAACGTAATTCCACCTTCAAGTTTCTCCCTCTGGTTTCGCTGCAACAACGTATGTTTTTACACTTGCTATACTTCTACCACAAAAACTGCAATATTTGTGTATTAAGGAGGACAGTTGCGTTTCATCTTACTTTTTGTTTCAGTCAGCTGAAGTCAAGGAATCACAAGAACAAATTCAAGAGATCTGCTCGTGTTCATGTTCTACAGAAGGTAATGCTTTTGCTTGGGAATTTTGGCAGGAAATAACGTGTGCTTATATGCATGTTGAGAATTCTTTTGAACAAGAAAAATGCACCTTTTAATGCTACCTTTAAAAAAAAACAAATATAGGTACCATTATGATTAGGTTTTATAGAAAATTAATGTTCAAGGGTTCTTTGCCAAGTTTAAGTTACTATTGTCAAAAAAACAACAAGTGTGAGAAGCGTTTAACAATATTTATTTCAATTAGTGTGGTGCGGCAATTTAATATTGACGTTGACATGTGGTGAGAACATATTTAGAAAAATTAAATATTAAAATCGATATTGAATATTTCTTTGCATAGATGACCAGGAAGTGTGCCAGGAAGTCATTGCTGCTTTCAATCAAATCTCCCTGAAGACTATTTCACAGGACGAGGTGACTAGAACAGCTAAGAGAATCGCAGATACATTCAACCTAGACAAAAACGATACAGCCACTCCACCCAAAGATATCACACAGAAGTGCAGGGCTAGCTGTAAATGGTTGATTGCTCAAGGAGGGGAGGTTTTTGTAGAAGCTTTACGAAATGAGCTTCCTAGTGGAATGACAGGTTGGTTGACTTTTACCATCACATGTATTACTATCATTATCATCATAATCAACAGCATCATTTGCTAACATTATCATCACCATCAACTGTCATCATCAATCATTAATTTTTACTTCCAACACTGAATGTTTGAATAATGTAAAAGCATTTACTAGGTTACTGTATATAAACCTTTTCAGATTTCTATTGATGCATATTCACCGATATTCAAGTATGAATGTGTTTGACCTTGTTGTGTATTCATTAGGTCCTTTGAGAGTTGGATATGATGTCAAAGTATGCGACATGGATTCTATGACAAAAACACAGTTCTCACAAGCATTAACAGGTGAGAGAATAACAAACAATTGTTTGTTAAGATGATATCAAAATGACACTTGGGGAGGGGAGGGAGGGGGAGAGTGACACAGAAGGCCAATGATTATATATAAATAAATATCGCCAAAATTCAATACCTCTTATCAGACTGGTCTGTGCAGAAACATTTCTCAAAGCATGCCAACTATTAGCGTGAATTTGAGAATTAGAGCGCATCATTCTTCACTGACTATTGGCAATATCATAATCTCTTTGATTTTCTTTCAGCCAAAGAAATGGAGTGGAAGGCTTTCGCTAAGGAGAAAGTAGGATTATCTTCTGACGAGATTGAATTTTTGGACAAAAGAAAATCAAACCCTGTTCTAGAAATACTGAATGAGCATTGCCATGACTGGTCTGTGGAGCAACTTTATGATGCTGTAGTCAGTGTTGGAGCAGACGCGATCGCAGATCGATACCTTTAATTCAGTAAATTTAAATTGTAAATAGAAGGCGTACTTTGGTACTACAAAACGCTATTTTAAATACCTTTTGAGAGAACTTTAAAAGGACTTACTATTTCATACTATGTATTATATTTTTATCAAAATAAGCAATTAATCCAGCTAAGTGGACCTCAAAGGGATGATATTTTTCAAAAGGCTCAGTTTATGTCTTTTCGTTTGTGCCCAATTCATCGTTTTCAACTATTCCCATGAGATTCAAAAGATAAAAGACCGGCGGCCATGTTGGAGGAATGAATAATAGATACTAATTAGAAATCCTTTGTTGAAGTTCCTACAAGATGGCCGCTGTGACGTAACTTGAAAACGAAGAATACCTCCCTTGGTTCAATTCCACGGGGTGACCTTTAATAGGCTATACTACTGAAGATAGATTTTCTGGAATTTCGATGGCTTAACTGTTGTGATGAACATTCAAATGCCTCTTTTCTCATTACTGATTGTTTAGCGGAGAAGAAACGAATAAATTAGATAATAAATGTTCTTTTAAATAATCTGCTCCCATTTCTTCATAATTGTGTTTAGTTATGCTCCCTAGAGTCAGGTTGGACGCTTTACTCGCCCACTTAYGCGCACCAARCCACGAGTCAAGACTRGGATTCCTGGCTTCGTAGATTTTGAATGTTGATTTGAAAGGTCGAATCGCCCGGAGCTCTTTCTCTAAGCGCTGAGTAAAGTTTGGGAATATAGTGTTTCCGCCAGTTAAAAAGATATTCTGAAAAAACATAAGAAACTTGAGTAAATGTCAAAGAAAAAGGTTTGCGATATATTAAATGGGGGGAAAGATGACTGGACTCGAACCCAAGACCTTCAAAATTCTAATTTCAAAAGCGACTTTCATCCCTGACCTCAGGGACTTAACGCGAATAACACTTTTCCGCGTTTGTAATAATATAAAGCATTTGAGCTCACAAGTTGGTCTAGCGCGGATTAGTATAAACATACTAATGGTCTATCACTCATACTGTGCTGTGATTGGCTACTCTACTAATGGTCTAATTTGTGATAGACCACTCGCGGGAAAATCAAAATAAATAAATTATAAATTATTTTAAGTATATTTCAATTTGTTTTCACTATTTCAGATTAGTATGTTTATACTAATTAACAATTAGACCTCGAGGTCGAGTGGACTACGAGCTAACAGCCCATTCGGCCTCGCGGACTCGGCCTCATGGGCTATTAGCTCGTAGTCCACTCGACCTCGAGGTCTAATTGTTAATTATGGCTACTTGTGAAATAACCGCAGATCAAAAGATTCGAACGTTCAAGTGTTTCATACCAGTCAAATTTATCCTGGATAAAAGTGGGTCCCCCAGAATTGTTTTAACAATTAAAATACTCTGAGCTCGCAAACTAGTTTTTCAGGTTCAAGATTTGTATTAAGACCTGATTTGAAAATCCTGTTTAAGTTAGAGCCACATACCTGTACTAGCGAGTTCTGTCTCTCAGGGGAATAGTGTCCCAATACAAAGTCTATAGTGTCAGTGATACCAGCTTGCTCCAGTCCTACCATAGCTGGTTCGAACAGTATCTCGGGGACTCTACAATTTATTATGTGGTCTGGTTAGTATAAGAACATCATTAGAAATAGCATGGACTCCTGATTTAGTTCACAATAGGACCTCAAACAACACTCCGCCGTACAGTTGGTTAGTTGTGGAGGGAAAATCGGGAAAACAATACGGAAGAACGCCAATCACCATTTTTCTGATTTTTGTTCAAAAATCTGTTTTGTTTCGTCAAAACCGAAGGAGTTCCGAACTTCACCAAACAGCTTTCAAGACTCGTACTTCAAAACCGAACAGAGTCCGAACTTTACTTTCATAATGATTTCGTTCAGTTTTTATCCTGCAAGTAGAGGACTGTTGGGGGAGACGGTTGAGAATCCTCTTTAGGGATTCTTGAAAACATTTCGTTAAAGTTCAGTGTTTTGATTGACAGAACCCTGCATGAAAACACAGAATGGCGGTTATCGCTCGACAATTGAAATTCGGAAATTCACGAAACCTGTCAGGAGCAACCTTACCGTATTCTTTCCACTCCAAGATGAAGTTGATGATATTCAGCCAAGTCAACCGGTCCTCCTTTTGACTCTTCGTTCCTGAGAAAGTACATTCTCACATTACTACATGTGATAAAATAGTAGGTGACATCGAACAAGACCAAAATACATTACCTTGCAAACTCTTTGTCGTGTTTTTTGAGCAAATTTTCCAACTCTGTTAACTCTTCTTGCTCTTTCTCGCTGTCTGAGTCACCAGCGTCTTTATTCTAAGAAGACGATTATCATCAAACTATGTCTTTATAAATATATTTTTAGTATAAAAAGGAAAAGGTTTATGGTACGGAGTCTCTTTAATCCGAACATTAA